TTATCCCTGCCGCTGTGCCAGTCACCTTGGGCTGTCTATTAAATCTCCCAGTAAGCTGGGGGGGCTTCAAAGGCGGCAGCAGGGCTTCTGCAGCCGGCGGCATTAGTCAGCTCCACGCGTCACACGCTCACCCGAACGGACAAGGATCACCCTCCGCCTCGGGAGGTTAAAAGCTTTTCCATTAGCAACTTCGTTGGATGCATATTGTAAAAAGACAAAGCACCATGAGGAAATAAAGCCTTGTCATTTACCTCTGCAAATAATTCAGGGCTAATAATGAGAATGAATCAATCAAGGCAGAGCAATTGGATGGCAAGGTCTTCCCGAGTGGTATCGGTGGGAAAAGCACATAAAACTCTGGCACTTTAACGGCCTCTCTGCACCATCTGCAAAAGAGCAAGACTGCCAAAGGGAGTCCAGCCTGCTCTTCTGGCTGGAGCCTGGCCGATGGTTAAAACAAAGGAGAATCGAAGCAAAAGGAAGTGAAAAACAGGCGTGAAGGGGTTCTACAGAGAAATCGGAGACCACCAAAATAGAAAGGTCGTGCTCAGCGGCCGAGTCGGGGCAGCGCAGGCACCGGTCGGAGCGCGGGGGGCTTGGGCAGGAGCTGCTCACGGAGCAGCGCCGAGCGGGGACGGGAGCCCGAGAGCAGGAGCGGGGCTTCCTGCCGCCCCGGCGCCCCGCACCCCCGTCCCGGGGGCTTGGCTGGTGACAGAACCCCCAAAACTAAACCTCGGCAGCTTTACGGAGCTTCTCGAGCAGCTGCTTCCCAACCAAGGAGCTGCCCGGGGAGGAGGAGGAAGAGGAGGAGGAGGTAGGGATGCTCTGCAGGCCCCTGCCCCCCCCCCCCCCGGGTGGATTTCCACCAGCCACCCCTGCTCCTCGCAATCCAGCCGTAGCCCTCGGGTCCCTGGACACTTTCTCGGAGCCCCTGGGTGGGACAGGGACACCCCGGCGAGGAAGGTGGCTCCCCCTGCCCCCCCACAGCCCCCGGGCTCGGGGCAGGAAACACGCCTGTGCCTTTGCAGAACAAAACGTTTGATTCCTGCACAAAGCAGAGCCGCTTCCTGACATTTGGAATAATTTTTATTTCACGTGACTGGCATCTGGCAGTTCAAAAAAAAAAAAATCAGTGGAAATGTACTGTCTCTTCCTCCAAAGACAGTGTGAGTGACCTAAGATTACAGTGATGTCCCTTCAAATGTCAGAAACGTTCACAACACTTTCTGTTTACAAGGCAGCAGCAGAAGTCGCAGGTTTTTTTATCAACGCTCAGCTCTGAACTTCATCCCACCTCCCGATGGCAGCGTCCCTTTTCACAAGCCTTTCCTAATTGATCGTGGGAGCAAATTAAATTATTTTCTCTGTGAAAGGATCCAATCACGGGCATTCTTTATATCCTTTGAAAATATAAGGGGACTTTTTTTTTTAAGAAGGAAAATACTGTCCACTACAGGTGTGTTCAGCACTTCTAAAACTTGATTTCGAAAGAGTACAAAAGATCAGTGCCAGCCTGCCAAGCCCCCTTATCTTGGCACTTTGTTTCTTCAGCTAATGCAAACTAAAGCGTAATGGCGTCAGATGGATTTTGAGTGTTCTGCGTTTAATTGGCCTCTTGTCTGTGCCTGGCTCTCACCAGCCAGGTTTCCAGCCGGTAGCTAAGGTGAGCGGTTTATTCACTGGGAAAAAAAAAAAAAAAACAAAACCAAACAACAACAACAACAACAACAACAAATGAAACAAAGCTTCAGTCAGATTCAGCAAAAAGATTTTGACTGCATAAACAACCAGGAGGCAGGGTACTGAGAAACTGCAAGCAAGCACGGAAGTTTTTTTCTAAACCTCCCGGGAGCGTGCTCGTGGGTGCCTGCGGCCCCGCTCGGGCTCCGACCCCAACCCAGCAGCTCTGAGACCACCCCGGCACCCCGACCGCCCCGCGCCCCCGTGTGCGGGGCTGCACCACCGCGGGAGAGCACACTGCACTGCACAGCACTGCACTGCACAGCACTGCACTGCACCGCACAGCACTGCACAGCACAGCACCGCACCGCACTGCACAGCACTGCACAGCACTGCACCGCACAGCACCGCACTGCACTGCACCGCACAGCACAGCACTGCACAGCACTGCACCGCACAGCACCGCACAGCACTGCACTGCACCACACTGCACAGAACTGCACCACACAGCACTGCACCACACTGCACTGCACCACACAGCACTGCACAGAACTGCACCACACAGCACTGCACCACACTGCACCGCACCGCACTGCACCGCACTTCACAGCACCACACTGCACCGCACAGCACCGCACAGCACTGCACCACACAGCATTGCACTGCACTGCACTACACAGCACTGCACTGCACTACACCACACAGCACTGCACTGCACTGCAGAGCACCGCACAGCTCTGCACAGCATCACACAGCACCACACTGCACTGCACTGTACAGCACCGCACCGCACTGCACAGCACCGCACCGCACAGCACTGCACTACACTGCACAGCACCGCACCACACAACACTGCACCACACTGCACCGCACAGCACCGCACCGCACAGCACTGCACTACACTGCACAGCACCGCACCACACAACACTGCACCGCACCGCACCGCACAGCACTGCACTACACTGCACAACACTGCACTATACCGCACCGCACTGCACCACACTGCACCGCACTGCACCATACCACACTGTGCCGCATCGCACTGTACCGCACCGCACCCCCCCACACTGCACCACACTTTCCCACACTGTACCACCCCGCACTGCACCTCACTGCACCGCACCACCCCACCCTGTACCTCACCGCCCCTCCCCGTGCCACACCGCACCCGCTCCTCTGCCCCTTCCCTCCTGCCTTCCCCCCCGGCCGATGCTGCCGCTGCAGCCACGCTCCTCCACCCCGGCCGAGTGTGCTCTCGCCCCCGCCCCACGCTCCCCTCACCAAAATTCACTCATCGCTTTTCTCACAGTTCTGCCCCTTCTCCTGCGCTCCCCAAAAGAGCCCTGACGAGCTGCTGGCCTCCCCGCGGGCCAGGGCTCTGTCCACCTGCAGAGCAGGGTCGGATCCTCATCTGCAACCAGGCGTTCACCCGGGGGAAACGTCCCTCATGCCACGGGCAGCGGCCGCAGCACACCGGCGTGAGCAGGGCAGGGGCTGCCCAGGGGCTCCTCCACCTCTGCCCTTGAGAACAGGACCGTGCAGTGCTGGAAGGGAAACACAAACCCCCAGCCAGGGCTCTGCCCCCTGGCACACACAGCACCCGTCTCCCAGCGCGGTGCTGGATGTCCCGGCTGTGGGAGGCCGCGAGTTTTACACCGGGCTCCTTCCCCGGAGGGCGAGCGCTTCCAGCTGCAATGGTAACTAGAAATGCAGCGTTCCCCAGGGCCCTGTTATCGCTCTGAATGAGGTAACTGATTAATATTAAAGTAGATAAGTGCTCTAAATCTTTCCACTCTTACTGAAATGTTTGTCCCATTAGTGAGACAATCACGAAACAGCATTCACAAAACAAGAAATAAACACAGCAAAAAATAACATAGGCCTGAAAGCTGGGAACAAAGAGTTTAAAACAAAAAGGTTAGATCGCAGCAAAACTATCATGAACTTAATTAATCTGTGTACTCAGAGCTGCCAGCTTGTCAGGATGGAAAGGAGTGCCAGGTCTGGGGCAGGCAAACTTCCTGCCGTGCTTTAACAGCGAGCAGGCGGCAGCGCCCAGCGCCGGACACAGCACCTGAAGATCTGCAGAACAAAACCCACCCGCCCTGCCCCACGGGCTGGACTGCAGCAGCCCGGGGGGCAGAGCCCAGCCCTGGGGGAGCGGAGCTGAGCCCCAGCGAGGGCTGAGCCAGGGGGGGCCTCCCACCTCCCACCAGGGCCAGGCAATTCCACCACCGTGACCATATGCCCTGGCTTCACAAAAAGCACCCTGCTCCCGGGAGAAGCCTTCACTTTCCTCTTTCCAGCACCTACCACTAAGCAGATGGCAACTCAGGCTTTGAAGAAAAGACTGGATTTTTATTGGGCTTTCATTACTCACAGACTACTTCTACTTCGGGGATTGGGGAGGATGCAAAAGCCTCCTATCCCAATTCTAAAATCCAGAATGATAGAGGAATAAAAATGTTAGTCCTAAAATTGTACATAGCAGTTCAACTAGAAGTAATTTGCTAATTTCTGCGAGCACATAAAACAACAAGTCAGTAAAAACACGTTAATGAATGTATTTAGTCTTGGCCATTGCATTTCATAAATATTTACTGTTTGCTATTAGAAGGCCAAATTCACAAGACTCGGTTAAGAACCAAAATAAGAAGGATGAATTTTGTCCTGCTGTGCCAATACTAAATCCAGTCATTTCCTAAAGCCCATGTCATGGCTCTTTCATCACAAAGTGCGGGCTAGAATTTCCCATCTGTGACCCTCTAGCACCAGCCACGGAAGCCAAGGCTGGTAGATTTACACCACCAGAGCTGGCGTGTGGCCACAGTCTGTGGCTGGGCTGTTCAGTAGTACACTCATTTAGCTTCAGAGTAGGGTAGCTGAGACCATTAAATTTTGAAATAAGCAGGACCACAGCACTCAGGCGTAGCATAAGGAAGAGTCCACTGAGAGCTTACATCACATTTGAGAAAATAAAACACTCCCCACCCTGAAAAATGCAAAGCTGATGATTTAGCTTTAGGGCAATCAAATATCTGGTTCAGATCTCCACAAGGAACAAACACTGATTTTAATGGGGCTATTTGTAAAGTGTGGTATTACCCTAACTCAGTAAAGGGTATCAAAGACAGTTTGTGCTTATCTAAATTTTAAATGAAAAGTTTATAATAAAACTATCCTGATACAGTGCATGGAACAAAAGGAGGAAAAGAATATGAGACGCTCTTTATCGGGAACCTCCCTTGCACTTGATAATTCCCCTCCAGGTTCCTTCTTCTATTCAGAAGCAATACAAGAGAAATACTTTCTCAAAAGAATTCAAATATACGCAAAACTTGTATTGAGGCATGTCTTTACAGCTGAAAATAATCATGCTGGCAGGGGTATAATAACCAAATATTTCCAACACAGCAATCAGAACTGAAGTAAGGAGTGGTGCAGGTGGGGAGCAGTAACCCTACTCAGCTGCTACAGCTGAGCTCCGCTCCTGCGGAATGAAGCCTCTACCCCACAGACCGAAGCTGCGAAAGAGCCAGCGCCGGGGCCGTGCCCACCCCCCTGGGTAGGACACAAAGCAACCGGGGCACTCGGCAAGGGCGTCTTCATGGCAACAACGGCTATTTTAGTTTTGTTGCTCAACGTTCCCTCACCGAATTCTCAGGCTCTGGAGATTATAGCACTAATTCACAGGAAGATGCTGTTTCCAAGCTTACACTTGTTCCTCTGTGATTTTCACGATCAACATCCCCTTAAGTAGTATGATTCCTTAATCTTTTCTAAAAGATTTGCTGTCTGCAGTCTTCTTTTCTTCCAGCTGTGCATATTAAACAGTCTTTCCTCAATAAAACGGTACCGGCAAAGTTCAGACAACAGCCATGGAATTCCAGTGTCAATAAAGATAGGTGGTTCCAAGGAAACTCTATGCAAATACATTTTCTCCTGCAAAAGCAAAGAAAATAGGTTTTAGAAGAACATTTATTAGGAGGTAATCAATAGCCATTTGCTCTTGTTCTGAAGCTAATTTAAGAGTTGACCAAATCTTCTCTCCAGAGATAGCCCCTGAAGATACTACTTTTGAGTAAGAACCCCTAGATAGAACCAATCTCTTATTTCACTAAGACCATCACACTCGTGATACATTAACGGAAAGGAGAGGATGAAATACAGGACACAGAAGTCATCTTAATCAACATACTGTTCAGAAACTCTGGAATAGTACTAAGCCTAACACTGCAGTAGCTCATTTTTCTTGAAAATTCCTCAAAAGTTGCATACTATTTATAACGGACGAAAAAAAAACATTTACTCGTAGAACTACAAAGAGCACAATGTGCCACAGGTATCACAAACTCTGAACAATTTTTGCTTATCTGTAGACAGATGTTGCACTTACAACTGCCCTGAGCACAACCTTACAACTTAAGAGCACGATCACCCACACTGCTCCTGAAGAAGTGTCTCCATTATTTTAATACCCTGGAAAAAAAGCACAAATAAATGGCAGTTTTACACACAACTTAAGGATTTCAGACATTAGAAAGGGTACCCCACAACACACCAGTAAGGCCTTAAAAAAAAAAAACAAACTGCATTTCATGGTCCCGCAGTAACTCGGCACAGCTCTCCCAGCTGCTCAGGGGTCCCAGAGAGGACAAAGGGCCCCGCGCCGCGCACGAGCTCTTCCACGGCACGGCTGCACGGAGCCCGGGCACTCCATCAGCTCACACAGTTTATTCCAGCTCTGCCACTGCTTTGCCTGGACCAAGCCACTTCTCATCCCTGCACCTTGGTATAGCCCTCTTTAACAGGGAAATTCCATCGCTCGTGTTCTTCGCCAGCAACTGGGTGTGCGAGGATGAAAGCTCCCCATAAAAGCCCCTCGGATTACTTCCATCATGAAAGCAAGTAACATTGAAATGAAGCAAAAAATGCCATGAGAGTCACCACCAGAGGACCACAAGGTGGAGTATTTCTTCTCCAGGACTGAGCTGTGAAGGCAGGAAGAAATACCAAACAATGAACTACTAATTAAAGCAAAACATAGGTGGAATCCAGGGGTTGTTTGTCAGGGGGGGGTCACTGCAGATGAGCCCCAGGAGCTCACCAACCGGCAACAGCTGCGCGGGGGCAAAGCACTGAACTACTTGCAGCAGGGCACCGCTCAGAAATGGGGGGAAGCTTTCGACCAGAGCTAGACTGCTCCACAGCCAGGAGCTTTGTTTTGAAATTAAGTTCAAGGCTCAGTGCAAAGTGAGAGAGAAGCAGCTTCCGGGTTGGTGAAAAGCAAAACCCACTCACTTTAGGTAAGAAAATCTGCAACATCCCTCCCTCTCCCACTTTTTGGCTCTGTGTACTGAAACTGTAGTAATTTGCCAACCCTACCTCTAATGTTTGGACAGATCTTGTGGACTGAAGCAAGCTTGGAGCTTAGCTATAACCTGTGTGGGGCTAAGGCCTTCCCTGCTATGCCCTCTGTTTGGCAAGATAAAATAAAAAGGATTTCTCAGTTTGAGTCACTTTGTGAGAGGAGGTAAAAAAATACAATTAACTTTAATAAATAGGTCAAGAGAATTTCTTTTCACATCTCTACAAAAAAAATGGACATGATAATTTTTATCTATGAAAAACAGTTCATCTTCTGAGCCTATTCTATGCAGAAGGCAGCAAGCTGACTACCTTAGTCTATCAGTCTAAATTGGACATGCCACTGTTTACAGAATGAAGCACTAATTGACATAAGTGAAGACTCAGAGGTTTGCCTAGGGAATTTAAAAATGTTACTTATTGAATCAATTATGTTCACAGTGTGACAACTGCTTTTTCTTTTATTTCTCCTTATAGCACTGCAGACTTTTAGGCAAAATGGTGTTGAGGAAGAAAAGGGAAATGAGAGGGGACTCCATTAAATGAACAAAATACGAAAGGGCAGGTACAAGTCATTACCCAGTACCTTTTCAGCAAGGAACAACTAAATCAAAGCCTAATCAATATATTCCTTTCAACTAAAGTTCAAACACTTAAATCTCAACCCCAGGAGATCAGGCTTAAAGGAGCTAAATTTACACTGCTTAGAGTGCAATGATGCACTTGCAGTGCAGAACAAACATTGCCTACCCATTAAACTCTGCACCTCTACAGCTACAGTTTAAAAGCTTCTCCGACAGACAAGCCCTGCAAGTTTTATTTTTCAAAGGTGGAGGGGCTGTGCTGCTGTGAGACGCTGTCCCGTGTAAGCGCCCACACGCAGCCCTCCTAGGTGCAATGCCCTGCAGCACCCGCAGCATCCACAGCACCCGTAGCACCCGCAGCACCCAGAGCACCCGCAGCACCCACAGCACCCGTAGCACCCGCAGCACCCAGAGCACCCGTAGCACCCACAGCACCCAGCAGCACCTGTAGCACCCACAGCACCCAGCAGCACCCTCAGCACCCACAGCACTCGTAGCACCCACAGCACCCGTAGCACCCACAGCACCCAGCAGCACCCGCAGCACCCGCAGCACCCACAGCACTCGTAGCACGCAGCAGCACCTACAGCACCCACAGCAACCCCAGCACCCGCAGCACCTGCAGTACCCAGCAGCACCTGCAGTACCCGCAGCACCCAACAGCACCCACAGCACCCAGCAGCACCTGCAGCACCTGTAGCACCCACAGAACCCGCAGCACGCAGCAGCACCTTCAGCACCCACAGCAACCCCAGCACCCGCAGCACCTGCAGTACCCAGCAGCACCTGCAGCACCCGCAGCACCCACAGCACCCAGCAGCACCCGCAGCACCCAGCAGCACCCAGCAGCACCCACAGCACCCAGCAGCACCCGCAGCACCCTCAGCACCCAGCAGCACACCCAGCACCCACAGCACCCAGCAGCACACCCAGCACCCACAACAACCAGCAGCACACCCAGCACCCAGCAGCACCCGCAGCACCCACAGCACCCGCAGCACCCAGCAGCACCCCCAGCACCCAGCAGCACCCCCAGCACCCCCAGCCAGGGGCAGCGAAACGGCAGCCTGAGGAGCGAGCAGCACGGCGAGCGGCCCAGCAGCCAAGGTCGGCTCCTGGCGTATCTGCCCGAGCCAGACCGGGCTCCTGGCCAGCAGGGACAGGAGCACAGCACGGCTCTAGTGCACCCCACGTCTTCACCAAGCACTGGAAGCTTTGAATAAAGGTTCGGTGATGCACAGGGAAAGTATAAATGGCCTGTTTGAATGTGAGGAAGGCAATGCATATTGCAGTGCACACCTCATTTCCATCACCAGTACAAAAGCAGGGTAACGTTTTAACAGACTAGCAGAAAACTTTATGCTTCTCTGAAAAGAGCACAGTACCTTTCATCCTTTTAGTAACGATGACAAAACATTTTTCAGTTAAATATTTGTTATTTAAGCTCAGCTCCATCATTTAACAAACACTACATCACGGTCATTAATTTCCATCTCCTTATACACTCAAGTCAAGCAAAAGGGATCTAAAAAAGACACAAAAAAGTGAAAATGACAGAAATGTTGCAACATTTGGGAGGCAACGGATAAAACACCTACCAACATAACAACAGTTTCTTGCTCCAAATGCTCCTTCATTGTGTGGCCTTAAAATCACTCATAGCTTTGCCAGTTGTACTGCTTCACACTGTCAGGGATCATCATAACTTAGACACGTACAAACTAATTAGGCCACTTTTTACACAAATTTTAAAAACCTCACACAGACAAAGGCTGACTTTAGGGGCCACCACTACCCCTCCTGGGCTGGAAACTTCTCCCAGACTTTGCCTCCAGACTCCAGAGCGCCCTTTGCCCCTCTCCAAAGGAAGCCAGGCTCCCAACGATAGACCCAGAACAGGCTGTGCTGGTAGCTGGGATTTACTGGCCTATCTGCTGAGACTTTTGAATTATTCAGGAGGAAAGTTTTATTGGCAGTAACGTGGGTGCACAGCATTCATTAATACCTTTTCTGAACAGGTTTAAAAAAAAAAAAAATCATAAATGCTGTCATTTCCACCCAAATGCACTAAGACTTCTACAAACAAAGGCAGGGCACGAGAACTTTACTTCCTGTATTTTTTTTCAGAGCTGAAATAAAATAAGAGAAATGTGACAAATATGAGGAGCCATAAAATGTCACTGTCATTCTGTTAGGCAATAAAAAAACCTCCTACCCAAAGAACAGGCTCATATCTGTTCCAAAAATAACTATTTAAAAGATCTGTGCCTTTGGTGTCCATTAATAGTTTCATCAATAGTAAATTCTCCCTTTCTTTCTGTAAAATAATTCAATATTGACTGTGTAAATACATGAGCTTTATTGTAGTCATTCACAAAATTTAATATTCATGCAGTATTTTCTCCTGCTTTTCAGGTAGCTCATCCTCTACTCTGTTTCCTCTGCCCCCTCACACTGCTGCTTCCCACTGTTTCCTCACTCCCTTATCTCATCTGAGCCTCTCCAGTCACAAGGATGGAGAAGTGCACTGCTGTCAGGATCGAGGAGATAAAGCAGGAACCACGTTTGGCTTTGAAAGTAACATCCTTACATATTCCAGGTGCAAGAAAAGCAATGGCCTTTTTGGTCAGGCCATTGGGAAGGGTGCAACTCAGGTACTGGAAGTAAACAGAAGCCTGGAGAACATTTACCGAGCATTGTCATTCATGCAACATGTATTTTAAAACTTTAAATATCCTCTTTGTATTGCCACTTATTACATTTGGGTAAAATGTGCCTCAAAATTACTCGTTGCGAAGCCACAAAAGGAACCCTATCTAACAGCTTAGGAGAAATTAAATGCGTAGATACAGCTGCTGCCTTGGGGAGACGGATGTTTTGGAGGCGGGGGAAGAACCAGGCAAGACTGTACATTTATACCAGATCTGGTGCGCTTGTATTTTTCTTTTTCACAGATCTGCAGACATAGCCAAAATTGCTACAGGATTTCTAACGCAGCATTGTAGAGATGCTGTGAGCTAGTTTGTTTTATCCGCCGGCTCTGCGCTGTCATAAGCCAGCAAGACGCATTTCATTGCTCACAGTCATTGCTTACACTAGCACAGCTGTCTACTTCTGTCTTTTTGTTTCTTTTAAAGCCACAACAAAAAGATCTTACAGTTATCAAGCATAAGCAAACGTATTTCAAACAGCACGGCCATTTATCTTGGGGCACAGGTTCCAAAATCAGCTTCTGAAGCACAAGCGAGAGGTTGGGGCCGTCGGCCCCCGCAGCAGCGGAGAGGAGGGTGTCCCACAGGACTGCGGGTGCTGCCCAGGCTCCACGCTCCAACACCCACCGGCTTCCAGGGGAGAAAAGACACTACACACTGCTGAGGCCACTTCAAAACCAAAGCAAACAAACAAAAAAAAAAAATAAAAAAAAATTCAGTAGGATTAACCACTTGGTCTCCATGAAGAATTAAAGAGTGGCATAAGTCATGATCTGAACTGTGGACATCTAAGTTCATCTGAAAAACAAATTCTTCTATTAGATAACTAAAAAATTATAAATCAGGGTAAATATGGGTTTGTTATAGTCTTGCAGTACATTAGATTCATGAGCCCAGCCAGGGAAATGCCATGTTTTCAGGTACATCCATAGGGTTTCATTCATCTGAAACAAGACACAAACTGAAAGGGGGAAAAAAAAAAAAAAAATGGGGCAAAACCCCCTTTTTTAGCAGGTGTAAATTTTAAACAGTCTGCACAGCACGACCTGAAACCCCCAAATCTCTTCAAGGCACAAAGTTCCAGAGAACAAGACTGCCACACAACTTCATTTCCCAGCGAGCGCTTCAGGAGACGTCGCTGTTAAACCCAGTTTATCAATATGACACGACTCCCCGAAACGAACGGCCTGTGAGCACCAGCTCCCTTGGGACGCTGCGCTGGATAGCTTTTATCCTCTTTCATAATTCTTACTGAAAGACAGAACTGTTGAAGTACACAGAACTGCTACAGGGAGATTGACTGTGGCTACTGTAAATACATCAAGCTGCCAAAAAAAATTCTAACATTACTGGAGAAAAATGCGTGACATGATATAAATTCATGTTGACTACTTTTGACTATTTCAGTGTAAAGGTGCCATAGAAGCGCAAATTATTATTACAGTATTAGCTGGTACAATGAGACATTAGGAAGAAGAACTGTTTCAATGCCTGGGGGAAATCAGCAATAAGAATGAATTACAGAAACTGATACAGTCATATATGCTGTGTTTTGAAATGTATTTGAAATAAAACTATTACCATAATAAAACTAAATGCATTTTTGTTCTGCTTATTCTCTGTAGACTAAAGAAGAGGTCAAATATTTTTCAACAATTAAAAGGTGTAAAGAATCCAGACTTAAAACATCAATTTAATTTTGAACCCAGATGATCTGGTGATCTGAAAAAAAAAAAAAATAGAATATAAGTCAGGGAAGAAATTCAAGCAATAAATGACTTACCTTCTTCATACCTTGTTTTAAAAATGATTGAGCAAAAGCTTCCAACACACAGTTGAGCAAACCTGCCCCCATAACTGATATTCTGCCTTTTTGTGTGAAGTCTGTCCTAAGAAACAGCAACATAACACCCTTGTATTTTTCTGTCTAATTAGTAAACATTAAGTGTAAACTCTACACGAGAAAGTTAGTGTTTGATACCCGAGTGAGGGATTAATCTCTTACATTCACATAGTCAGTATGACAACCTCAGAGATAGAGGAACATCAGGATAACGAAAGGTTTGCAACCAGCACCTCCTGCAACCGGCGCGGGACCACCGATGCTCCTGGCAGGCCACGACCACTTATTATTTCTGTCAGTGCCATTCGGTGAGAAGACAAACACGTGGCGTTCACGTGAAGGAGCTGGAGAACGCGAGAAGTTCACCCAAACCGCAGGATGGATGTCAGCAGTAAAAATCTACCTTTGAAACCAACCGCCCTGGTTGGGATTTATTTTATTCATTTTGCAGTTTCACCATCGTAGGGGACAAAAAAGGGAGGCTCAAGGGAAGTATTGATCTCTGATTGATTTCTGTAGCGCACGGCTGGCAATGCTGCATCATTACAACACAGTCACAGAGAGAAGTCTATTAATGAGATCCAACTACTAAATTATTGACTACTTAAGTACAGCAAATTTGGTCTAATTGTTTTCATGATGGGAGTTTAATTAAAGTGTCTTTAGTATAAAAAGTCTAGCAATATTCTTTTCAGATAGTGTCAGGAGGAGTTTCCAAAGCCTGCATGGCTTTCAAAACTAAATTAAAAGTTACATCTAATGCAAGGCTCTTCAAAAGAGGGAGCTTTTGTACGGGAGATCTTTTTAATTCCCATCTCCAGCTGACAAGCACTGCTCATGCATGACGTGCATCTCGTCACATCAGGGAGACATCCTCTCATGCTGCGCCCACCGTGCTGCGAGAGACTGCGACTCCCTCAGGCTGTATGAAATGAGGGAAAGTGCTGGGTAATAAAGGGAATCTGAGGGCAATTGAGGGATACAAAATGAAAAAGCAGAGAAATGCTCCTGGTGGGGAGGGGGAAAGCAGTCAAACCAGAGCAGGACGGCAAATGACAGCACAGACAAAATTCAAGCTACACAGGGATTCTCCACCATGGAAAGACAGGTATAACCTGCCCAGAGACACGGAAATTTGCCAGGGCAGAGCATCAACAGAAATCCAGGCCATGACAGGGACCTCTTCCCATCGCCCTGCCCGTCAACACAGTGGCTGCCCAGCTCAGCTGGGTGCGAGCAAGCTCACCCCAGCACACACCAGGCTCTGTTGTAGGCCAAGTGCACAGGAGTTACTGTAGAGATTGTCCTTAACCAAACACACACGCGAGTGGAGGGGAGCAGCTGGCAACACTCAGGCTGGTTTGATGTACCAGGAGGGAGAGCTGTGAGCCCTCTGGAGCTGCACCCCAGGGGCAGCTCTGGCAAACACCCTGGGGCAAACACCTCAGGGCAAACACCGAGGAACATCTGGGGGGCAGTACTGGGGAACACTCAGGGACAAACACCCGGCAGGCAGCACAGACAATCCGTCCCAGACCTTCTGCAGGCCAGCACCGCTCAGATCTGGACCCACTCGGCCTGCGGCCAGGCCTTGCCCACGGCGACTACCTGGCTTGCTTTGGACTTCAGACATCAAGATGAGATGCTTGTCTATAGCAGCAATTAAATCATGGAAACCGAAAAAAAATCATCATGAAGGAGTTCAGTCACAAGGATAACACAGGTGCTTTCTGGCCTCTGAATACACAGATATGCTTCATCATGCCTTTTTCAGTAGTTTATCATTTATTTATAGTAATGTTTGTTTGCTACTAGATCTTTTCAGACACTTATATGCTCTGCTTGGAAGCACCCACAATAATTCACTTTGCAAGAATATGCAGCAGTTAGCATCACTGTGTTCATACTTATTTAGGACAAAATAACCACCTGACATTAAGAGGGAGAACTACACTGTGGTTAAATGGACTGTTTGGGACTAAGCAAGCATCACTTCAATTGCCCCAGTTCCATTAGGGACATCAGAAAGGCCGCAGTCTCCCTTCCCTGACTTGCAGCGCTCTTGCTGACAATAATAAAGGCTGTAACTGCCAATCTCAAGCTGGGTAAACTCATCCACATCCTTTGGATGAGGTTCTGCTAAACGCCTGAGCGGTAGGTCCCTGCAGGGACTGCACTGGTGGTTTCATTCTCTACAGCATATTGGCCTACAAAGTAGCTGGGCTGAAGTCGTCACAGTTACAACTTCACCTGACAGGGGTAGAAATATTCTGGGTTCCCACCAGCACCATCTCACCACGCGTGCCTGGGACCAGGCTGCAGCTCTCCCAAGCAGCAGCTCTGCCGCTAACCCCAGTGGCAAGGAGGGGGTCAGTGCCCCCCTCAGCACCCACTCGCTGCAGTGGGAGCGGGCAGTGCCCGGCCGAGCCCCTCGCACCCGGGAGCTGCAGCGGAGGCGATGGCAGGCAGCCTGCTCGGCCGGCTGCTCGAGGTGCACCCTCAGCGATGTCGTGTTAAAGCTGACTAAACAACCAACCGACCTGCTACAGCATGTGCACGGCGCCCAACTTGAGGCGCAGAATTTTCTCGTTCTCTTCACACTTTCAGCCCAATTTTCAGGAGGTTGCTACTGAAATCTGCCCAGCAGTGCTTACTTGGGGAGAAAGACAAGTTTCTGTCTGTACTCAGGTTACCACTCTCATAATGTTGTTCTCTCTTTAAGGGTATAATGTACAGTTTTCCCACTAATCAAGACCAGCTGAGCCTCCTCATTGTGTGTTTTCTTGTTTCTCCCCAGTGCAATAGCGTGCTGCTGATGTTCTGCCCTTTGCATAACTCCTTCACCCACCCACATGCAAAGCTCGCCATACGCACACCATTCGCAGCTGAAATTTCACGCCTGTTTCGCCAGCTGGCATTTGTTAGATACGATTACCCAGGTGAGACTCCTGAAGAGGCGACTGGTGTGCCCAGGCACACCCAGGTACCCTCGGACCTTGCCAGCCAGGGCAGCTTGGCTGAGGCCCACGGGCTCCTGCCGCTCCGTACCGTGGCCGCTGAGCCACATCGGTGCCCACGGCAGCGGGCAGGAGCGAACCTGCCCAGGCTGCAATCACAGGTGGGCAGCCCCGCTGCAGTATGCTTTAGGCTCAGAGTGAGCGGTGATGACACCGGCCCTGCACAAGCCTGCAGGAGCAGAGGCAGCACGCCAAACACAGTGTCCTTCCTAAACTGGAACTGGAGAGCCTTGAAAACAGAGCGTGAGTGAGTGACCAGCTGCAGCAGTTAAGAGTTTCTGCACCAACAGGACCAACATCTACAGTTGCGATGCAACTCTGAGCATGAACAGAGGATCCCAGCAAACTTTGGAAACAAAACAGTTTAAAGAGCCAGAGGAACATATCCTCAAACAGCAACGTCCCAGCACGGGGCTTCCAAAAACACCTAAGCCATAAGGAATTTAATTTCACGTGAAGTCAGTGGGTTTTTTCCTAAACATCCTTAGAGCTTTCCAAAGTCATGTGGACCTTGCTGGACAACCCTGCCATGCTTCCCAGAGAATATCACGAGGCAAAAGTAACAACTAATTGCAAGAGACACCAGAACAAAGTAAGAATTAATGGGATTGACATCAGCTGGAAATAAATGTTTTTTTTAAAGATAGTCACATGTATCACATACCTGCTCATTTCAATGTTACAGGAATTAGAAATTCCACTCTGATCCTGCCATAAATGTGCATAAAGACATTTCTAGGCTCCGTTCTGCACAAACACAAGTATGTACTCTCCCAGGCAAAGTCCCATGGCAGCTTACATCTCGGGCACAGCGGGCCGAACACCAGAGAAATAAAATTGTTTGGGAAGAAGTATGCTTCGTGCCAATGTCTGGCAAGCAGGAGGGAGCTGATAATTTTTAAACTGCTGTCCAAGCATCTGTTGGTAGACACCATAGCAAAACGAACACTCTGGCTACACCTGCTGTGCAGGAACAGCAGAGCTGCCTTCCATGACTGCAGAGCAGCGCACAGAAATTAATTTCCAGCAATTATTTGTGCTCTGGCCAGAGAACCTAACCTCATGTCTGAGCAAGCCAGAGGAAAGCTACAGGACATCTACAGCTGCTGCTTCAAATGCATTCAAGACATACCAAGGAAATTATTATTCAGACCCCTTTCATTCCAAGGATTCAAAAGGCAACAGAAAACCCATTTTTAGGGCCACAGGCCTGCAGTAGCGGCCCTAAGCTGGCACAGGGGCACTGCTACACCAAGGCCAGCACTCACCAGTTTGGATTCTCTAGGCTCTCTCTGAAGACAGACTCCTTGCTCAGACACATACTGTGTCCATGTAAGACAATGAGTTTTCACAGCTCTATTTCTCTTCTGCATATTAAGCCAAGATTCCTCTTCCAAGTAGATGTCAGGCACTTTTAAGACACTGACCTGGGAAACAGAATTATAGCTTTCAAAATAAAAAAAAAAAAAAAAAGGTAGAATCACTTCTCAGTATTTTGAAAGTATGAGCAGCCTCGCAGGATAAGACTGAGGATTCAGGAGGAGTGCACATCAGCTGTGGTTAGCCCAAACAAGAACACTCAACTTCCTCAGCAGCTACTAAAGGCCATGCAAACACTCCAAGACTTAGGGAAGTTGCTCAGTGTCCAGCCGGACTTAGAAGACCACAGCAGGCCAACTTACCTGCACCACCTCATGCTTCCCGCCTCGCTGCTGACAACTTATTTATGACAACGGGGTACAAGAGAAGCCACTTCCAAACCGTTAGATGCAAAGCAGCCAAACCCACCAGCTAAGCCACAGGGGCAGGAGAAAGGCTTGAACCTCTGCGGGCTCCTGCTGCCAGGCACAGCGCCTGACTTCCTCCACCAGCTCCTCTCCTCCTCCCAGAGCCCACTTGTCAACCCGAGTGACTTTGATCTAGCAAGCATGGGCCAAAGAAGGGATGAAAATCTCACCATGGGTTTATTTAGGTTCTGCCTGTCTAGGGCAATGATATGTTCTCCTTGGCAAGCGAGGCTTGGAAGAGATAAAGACATGTTTAGAGGCAAAAACATAACAGAGTCGTCAGCACCAGAAAGAGTACATGCATACTTTTAAGCATGCAGGCTGTGAAACAGTACAGTTATTTAATCATGCATGAATGTAAATGTACTGTTCTGGATACAGCCTATCTGCTGGAAGATGCTCTGCAAAAAAAAAAAATAAAATAAAATAAAATAATAAATTAAGGCTAATTCTCCTCCCATGACAACCTGTGAAGAAAGGACTGTCACTAAAAGAGACACAGGAGAGAGACACTAAGGGAATGCACAACCTGGGTCCTTACATTTTCTATAGTCTCATCTTTATAGGGACTCTATGATGCCATATTTAACTTGCAACACGCTATACGCACACTAAGTATTATTTTAATTCCCTCTGAATTCACTTACAGAATGGTTTTGTGAGAGATTACAACCCAATGTGTTCAGGAGCCATGGATCAGACATCCAAAATACCTGAGCTCGGCTTAGACAGTGCTGAGATCCACGAGACTGGGCTTTTAAAAAAACACCATCTATCACACAAAAATCATAAGCACTGACAGCAATAAGATTATTATATTGGGGTGAGGGAATGGCTGTATTTTCACTGTAGCCCAGGTAACATTTTAAAGCAGCTTTACTTCTTCCGGGTACAAAAGTTAAAAGTCCACCTGTGTGTATAAAACAACCACCACCACCAGTTCACCAGTTACATCTTAGTGTACTCAAGGCTACGATTTTGTTAAATATAAAATCAGTTCCCAAAGAACTTTTTTCTCTTACCTTCTCTTTCAAAATAACTTTACTAATTAAAAAAAAAAAAAATCATTAGGATATGTGATCCTTTTAAACAAGATTAACCACAGTGAAGCATTAAGGTTTTACAACTTAACTAAATTTCTCTCAGTAGTTACCTTTCTTAAAATTTCAGGAATTACATTGCGACACGTTGCAATTCTCCAGTAAATAATCACCATAGACAAATCTGATGATAAAAGAAAATCAGAAGGGAAGAGTTACAGCAGCAAATATTATCATTTTCTTTTAGCAAAAACAAAGTACTTGGAAGACTTCACAGCACAGCAAATGTGCAAGCAGAAATGCTGGCAAATTAACAGAGCGTTGAGGGGGTTGGTTTTTGTTTGGTGGGGGGGGGTTAAGTATAACCCAGTACTTCTGCTGCTCTGCCAGACAGAGGGCTGTAAATGAGACTGTTACAGGCACTCTGCCTCAGGAGGAGGGCACCTGCATCCACTACTCAGGCCAGACCCCCCTTAGCCAGCCTGTGGTACAAACGTTTTACTGGCATCTATTCTGGTGTTCCTGGACAGTTCACTGCAGGCAGTGGCAGTGGCAGTGGCAGTGGCAGTGGCAGTGGCAGTGGCAGGCTGCGTGGGTACATGCAGGACTCCCTCCTGCAGCCCGGGCAGGGTCTGGCAGGGCCCACGGGAGAACCCAGCTCCCAGTGGCACTGGGTGGACAACGACTGGGGCGAGAGAAACGCTTGGGTGACTGAGCTACCAGACCAACATACAGACTTAAGCTTTAGTTTATTTCTGTCCCCACCTCAATTTCTATTCTCAGGCTCATTCTCTGGGCAAACACAGTGTGCGAGATTTACAGAACAGTCCTGCCTCATCACACATTTATTTTTGTATTGAATTGGACCCAGTGACAAGGACAAAACTATCTATTAGGAAACAAATTACAGTTATTTAGTATCTCCAAAAAACGGTTGGCTTTTAGAATCACTTTGCCTTTTAATATTTAATGACCCAGATCAAGAACAGGACGCTACTGAATGAGAAGCCAACTGGCAGGCAGCCCAGGTTAAAGACTTCTCCAGGATAAAAGGAGTACCTTCTCGAACAGTGAATTTGGTGGGATCTGTGAAATGAAACCTTCATGGGGTTTGGTCTCCAGAGCTTTAACAAACACATCACATTAATACTATGAAGCATCTCCATGCAACATAGAGCAGAAAAGCATTCTCCGGAAAGAGTGGTTTACTGCATTTGAAGAAAATGGCAACAGCAGCACTAATGCTTAGCTCTCTTGAATTGCAGGGCAACCTTGCTAACAATTTGCTTAGAAAGAGAGCATAAGCCTGGAATTAAGAGCCACCATTAAACCTGAGCTGCAAGACAGAAGACACCTTTAAATGTATGATAAAGAATTTATGGACTAAAGCTTTTAGGTATTAAAGCATTTGGTACTGAAAATTTAAAGTCTGTAAGTTCTTATTTCATCCCAAATGAGTATTTGATCACAGTTCCCATATTAGGAAGAAAGGTGCTTATTTCCATGCAAAGTTCTATAATACTTGTTTCCCATGTGGTGGGATAACTGCTTTAAACATCCTCCACGCAGGCATGTGATGATGCTCAGGGGGCTGGAGCAGCTCCCCTGGGAGGCCGGGCTGAGAGAGTTGGGGGGGTTCAGCCTGGAGAAGAGAAGGCTCTGGGGAGTCCTTCGAGCGGCCTCCCAGGGCTTAAAGGGGGGACAGGAAAGGTGGGGAGGGACTCTGGATCAGGGGGTGGGGATAGGATGGGGTTAGCGGTTTAAACTGAAGGAGAGTAGATTTAAATTAGGTATAAGGAAGAAATTCTTCCCTGTGCGGGAGCTGAGGCGCTGGCCCAGGGTGCCCAGAGCAGCTGTGGCTGCCCCCTCCCTGGAAGGGTTCAAGGCCAGGTTGGACGGGGCTGGGAGCACCCTGGGCTGGGGGAAGGGGGCCCTGCCCGGGGCAGGGGGTGGCACTGGGGGGGCTTTAAGGACCCTTCCAGCCCAAACCAGTCTGTGATTCTACGTTACTTTAAGTGCCTAATTGCAAGCATTTCCTGCAAGCTCAGCAACTGGAAAACAAATATCCACGTGGTATCAGCAGATCTGATCTGACAACTGTGCTCCAACCCAAGCAGATTTATTTTCCTTTCAATATGACTGGGAAATGGTAACATCTGATTTTCGATATTTCAGGAAGTCTTGACTGATGAAGCTAGAGACTGAGGATCTGTGACCACTTTCTGACTGCTAAGCATCCTACAAGTCCACCACACCAGTCTTTCATCCCCGGAACTACCTACTCATGGGGGAAGTGAAACAGCAAGTGATCCCTCGAAAGGCAGAGATCATGAAAGCCAAGTGGTGGGACGCCTGTGGAGTGCCCGAGGCTCGATCCACACAGCTCACTGTGCTTCCTTCCAGGGGCCTTGCATCTGATCCACAGAGCACTGCAGATGGAAATCATCACAGAAATGCCAAGGAACCATGCAACAAAAAAACATGCTACAGAGAAACCAGCCTCAGAATAAGCTGAAAATTCAAATACTTGATGCAGATAAAACACACACTTTGGGGGGAGGGAAGGGGTAGAAACATTTTCTTGGTCTTGCTTACACAATGTCCAGCACACAAGGATCCCAGGCATGTCTGCAGTGCCCAGCTTCTACCAAAATACAACGATTACATAATTAATTTTAAAGGTTATGAAAAATTTTAATTAATTCTGTAAGAAAATTCAGGCAGCTTACCTGTTTTCTCTTCTACTGTTTCTACAGTCATGACGTGTTTTTCCATGGGACAGGGATACTGGGATAAAAGTACATAGGGTAGAGATTACCACTTCTCACATGGGTAAAAGAAAATTGCTAGCTGCCCCTTGCCAAGTCAGAAGCAGTTTCATAGCTTCTCTCAACAGGTATGAGCTGCCTAATATTAACAAGCTGCAATCTCCATTCAAGTTAGCAGAAAGGGAGAATTTATTAAGATTAGTTTAGTAAGATTAAAAAACAAACAGAAAATCCACTGCTATGAGAAAAATCGCTTGAAGGGGAGATGCTAGCTTTTGCTGCAGCATAGAGACATCACCCACACACCCTCCATACCACAGAAACAGACGCGAGCTCTTGACCAACATCCCATTTTTCAAATGAGGGTTAAGCAGAGCTTTCAGCAGCGTGGCAGCTCCACGGGCCAAAGCCCCCTGTGCCACACTCCACAGAGAGCAATGGCATCCCAAGGCTCTGCAGCAAGCTCACTCCTTGTCACTGCTGCTAAGCACCGTCAGCCACACAACCTACTTCCTCAAGCAAAAAGCTGGGAAGTACAGTGCAGCATCACCTGAATGCAGGGACTGGCACATAACATTTCACTGTCCTGCCAAAACTGCTAGAAGAGTGTGACAGCAGGACGTCACTCCTGATTGCAGTGTGGGCCCAGCCTGGCAAGAGGGCATGCTCTTCTGCTCAGGGGCTGGCCCGCAGCAAGGGTCAGGGATTGTCACTGCCTGTTCCTGCTCAGGGCAGCCTCATCTTCCTTAGGCTGTACAGACAAGTAATTCCAAGGCTGGAAGAGGGAGACTCTCCCTCCAAGACGCCCACTGGAAAGGAATTATGCCAAAATCATATAGGTTGCCTGTAGGGCAACATCCAATATAAGAAATGTATGCACAAGAACAGGACTACTAAGGATGAATAGTCTACTTTGGAACTTACAAAACTCTTCTGGCTAGAAACCAGACATAGAAGGCTACAAGGCCCTTACTCTCCATTGCAAAAAGCAATCAACATTCACCTGAATAATGAACTCTAAATTGTAAAGCGCAAGGTAATTTATTGAGCTCAAATAACACTCAAAAGTTACTGTAACTTCCATGCTAATACAAATGCCAGACTGAGGAAATACTGACCACCAGACTGACATTAAACAAAATACGAAGCTTTAGGAAAAGTGGGGAAATTGCATTTTAAAGCTAACTCAGTTCAGGTAATGCAATTATGTGCAGTAATAGGTGCTCCAGAATTGTGATACAAAAGAAATATTGGGTTGTAAGCTAAAAAGGTCATCAACTCCAGAACAAGCTGTTCTATAATCCAGCTCTACTATACTTTTTCTTACTGCAGAATAAAAGTTGATTTTAAAAGTGCAAGGTTTTCAAGTCCTATTCTATACAGAAATTGGAGGCTTCTCCACAACATGCTGCTTTGAAATGGCAGTAGTGGCATAATTACATTATCAATGTAACTTACACTCCGTAAGGCTCAATCGTGTGAAACAAAGAGCCATTTACATAAATCTTTCACTAAATAGCAGGCTCTATTACCCCAGTATTTAAACAGAAATAGACTCAATTTCCTACACGGCACAGTAAAAGAAATAACATTACAAGTCTACAAGCAGACATAATGGCTAGGAGAGACTCGCAGCCACAAAAATAGCGTCTCCAGCCAGCCACAGCCTCGCTGCAAGGCTTCCATTCCCCGGGGACACCAAAGCTAACAGCAGCCGAGAACAAAGAGATCTCAGCCTGGCTGTTATTTCAGCCCTGCAGTAACTCAACCCTCCAACCCTCCTCCCCAGCACCGGAGGCCCAGGAGTCCTGTCCCCATCGGAAGGGCTCCCACTAGCCCAAGGGCTCCAGCCCTGGCCTGCAGTCTCCTTGCCCGGGAGCGCAAACACAAACCGCCCTGCGTCCCCTCTCCCACTCAGCATGGGCGCAGGGCAGGCCCTGCCGTCCCTTCCCGCACTCGCACACAATGCTGGCTCCAGCATCCTCGCCCCCAGCTCCTCGTGCTGGGCCACAGGACAGAGCACGGACAGCCACGGTTTGGAACTGCCCAAGAGGTGGCTGCTACCCCGCCACCGACCCGTGGCCGTGCCCACACATCGCGGCTGCCGCCACGCTGCCTTCCCCAGCGCACGGCTGCCCGCCGCGAAGGGCACCCTGCGCCCGGAGAGAGGGCTCAGGGTGCTGAGGCAGGGCCGGGCTGCCGGCCTGCGCCCACCATAAGGCTATGGCTGCCCTCAAGGCACAGCTCCCATCCCCTCGGCCCGCAGATCAGGAGCAGAAGGCTGCAAGCCCAGGGGATGGGCAGCGGCTGCCGGGCAGAGTCCGGGCGGGACGGCGAAGCGCGGCCCTGCTGCCCGCGGAGGGGGTGGCGGATCAGGCCGGGCAGCGAGCCCGCACAGCCGGCAGCCGCCGGGGCAGCGGCGACCCGCCACAGGCGCCCGAGGCCGCGCCCGCCCCGCCGGCGGCACCCGGTGAGGGGGAGACGCCATCTTGTGGCACAGCGGGCAAACGGACGGGCCCCGCCTCGGGCAGGAGCGGGGGGGGACAGAGCCCGGGGAGTGGGACACAGAGCCCCGGAGTGGTGATGGGGGACAGAGCTGGGGGGACACAGACCCTTGGGGAGGTGGGGGGGGGACACAGAGCCCCACAGGCGGGAGGAGAGACAGAGCCGGGGGGGAGGAGAGACCCGGGGAGGGGGCACAGAGCCCCGGAGTGGGAGAGGGGGGACACAGCCCCGGAGTCGGGGGGGGACGGGGGGACGGGGGCAGAGCCGGGGGGGTACAGAGCCCCGGGTTGGTGGGGGGAAACAGAGCCTGAGGGAGAGCAGAGCCTTGGGGCGGGGGGGGCACACACAGACTCGGAGGAGGGGGAAGGAGCCCCGGGGAGACAGGAGGGGACAGAGCCCTGAGGTGGGGGCACAGAGCCCGGGGGGGGACACACGGCAGCCGGGGGGCTCTGCCCGCCCCCCGGCAGAGGCAGAGCGGAGCAGGGACCCCGACGCGCACCCACAGCCCCTGCCCGAAGGGTCCCAGCGCGTCCCCCCGTCACCCTGGAACTGCGCGGGCACCGCAGACCCCCGGGCCCGCCCGCTCCCTTGGTCCAGGAGCGAATCTCACCCCAATCTTCGCGCCTCGCCTCCCTTAAACCCTTCCCCGCGCGCAGCCCACCCACCCGCTGCGTCTCAGGCTGCACCGCGGGACGTGCGACTGCAACGCTGCCAACCCAAAATGCTGTAATTGTACGGAAAGGAAACAGTTATCCAGATGAAGGGCACATACTTTTCTTTAAAAAATTAAAGAGTACCAGTGAGCTCCTGTGGTAAATTTCTTCCCAGATTGATTTGCTTATTTTAAAGACATTTCTCCTCCATCGCACTGAGGACCCCAAACAAATCGGTGACAGCAGAAGCCACGAAGCTGACTTTGCCTTTAAGCTATCCATCGCTTTGAAATTACTTTTTCCAACCCTGGCTGCCGGTGATGAGCGTTTCCTGAAGACGTCAGAGCCCGTTTTACAGATGCAGAGCAGCAAGCGCGGTACCAGCAAACAGCAGTTGGGAAGCACTGGGACTCCCATACCCAAAAACCCCTCGGCACCCCAGCATGGGGGGCACCCGGGCAGTTATGGGGCTACCCCTCATTGCATGTCTACCAGAAGGGAAGCACTGCGTTCTCCTCTTGCAAAAAAAAAACAAAAAAAAAACAAAAAAAAAAAAAAACAAAAGTAGATAAAGAATACCTGTGCTCTCATTCCGTCTTCCTGCAAACGTATTGATTGTAGTTTGTAGAAAACATGCAGAATTGATTGCATTAGTCATCATTCTGAATCCAGGGAATCGAGACCCCACACACACCTTTCCTAACTGGAACGTGTACAATCGTTTATCAAAAGCAGCAGCTCCTAACCGCAGCAATGTTTCTTAGAAGTTATTTGAGGGAAATAGCAGGCCTGTAAAAGCGGCACTGTGTTTAGCAGCAGAGAGAAATCACTGCAGGTTACACATAAAGATTTGCACAAAAATGAAGTATTTCAAAGAAATGAAGGGATGGTTTTACATGCAAGATCAAATGGAGCCCATATAAATCAAAGTGACAGCTTCAAAGACTTGCAAAAAATAATAATATGTAAATTCATAAATATTCTGATTCTTTTTTTAACTGCAAGGAAATGAATCAGTGACACTGTAAAATCAGCTAAATCTCTCCTGATTCCTCCACTTTGCTATTGGTCTGGAAGGGTAGTGAACGTAAATCTTAAAAAAAATAAAATGTGCAGCAAACCCATTGCACAGCTTACTTGCTGTGATAAAAACTGATAAATACAAAATCGTTTCACATACAGATACACTTATTTCAAATACAAATCACCCTGTCATACTGGAGCTGTTTTACAGCCCGTGGGCTCACGTTAAAAACGACACCCGCACTAAGCTCGAGGCCACCCCAGCAGAAGCGGCCGTCCGTTCGGCGGGCTCGGCCGCGGGCACGGGGCACGGCTCCCCTCGGCTCCGCACCCCACGAACGCCCGACAAGCCGGGCTCTCCTCCAGCCTCGGCAGCACAGCGGCCACGCCAGCGCCGGCGGGCGTGACAGCAGCCAATACCCCCCAATTCCAGCAGGATTCCTCCTCGCCTGCACCGCGGCCGTCCGAAAGCGGCGCTCGGCGGAAGGACAGCGGCCCTTGCACAGCACCATCCACCCGACCCACCCTGGGCACCCTCCAGTATCGTGCTCAGCCAGCGCCTGTGCTCCCACACCGACCGCGGAGGGGCTGTTTGCGCTAGAAACACATGGCAAAGGCAGAATATTTTCTAGCGTATTTCTGAACCAGCATACAAGAATACACACCCCAGTAGCTGAGGTAGCAGGTTGTCCATCTGATTATCACCTATTTCTTACCGATTCTACGTAATGACAGTGAAAGACGCATGTCTGCGGTAAAAGCACATTTCTAGAGAAGTTGGGTGTAATTCTACTGGAAAGTGAAGCAATGTTTTATATCTAACCCAAGAGATGCTCAAGAGGGTGGTCAA